TTGGCATCTTGATAACATTTACCTCCGGTTTAAAAAGGTAATGTGGTTTACCAGGAGATTAATTACAATTGCAGGGTAATATTTTCCTTTTAAAATGTTAACATTTGCATTTTGCATCACAATTCTGTATGTGATATAATCTTAGTTTGCTATTTGGGAGAAAGATAGGCTTTCTACTCCCATAAATGTTTGGAGTCTTGGAAACTCACAGGGCAGTTCTACCCCATCTATAGGGTTGCTATGAGTCTGTGTTGACTCCATGCCAGTGAGCTTTGTTTGTTAGTTTACTATTGTGTTCTATCACCGGTGATATATCATAAATATATATCACCAGTTTCACCTCTCTAGAGAATCCAGCACAACTCAGTTGAAGTTCAGCATACTGTAAGATTTAATAATATGGCAATATTATGAAAAAGACTTTTTACTTTAATACTTCAATTTTTTAAATGGTGGAAATAACTTCTTTGCTTTTGTGATTAATGTCAACACTTTGCAAAAACATGTTTAGTACTATTCCCACTCTATCTTGCATAATGCTACCATGAGAAAATAGACATCAGTTTTTTCAAAAGGTGCATACACATCATAGGGATGTAAGTAGATTATTAGAGAAGATAAAAACAGACTACAAGGTGATTTCCATGTTTCAAAGATACCAGACTTGCCAAGAAAACCACCCTTGTTTCCTCTGTCCTAGGAGGAAGTGTTTGATTTAATGAATTCTTCTTATACTTGTCATTGCTTTCTGCAGAAACTCTCACTTTCTTTCTCACTTCTACTTGCTTCTCCAAAATCCAGGTATGTCTATATGGTAGGTCTAACCTTCGTACACCTGTACAAATGGAATGTTGACTGACCACCGGCTGTAGTTAATTTGCATTTCTCTTTCAATGCTTCACACTTTTTGCCTCCAATGGATGGATGGCTTTTAGTCTTCAAACAATGCATACTTCTGATACGTTTGTGTATGTTCACATAAACAGATTATGAGTTTGAGTTTAAAAACTCTTAAGGAGATTAAAATTTAACTTAGATCCAGACAAGAGACCTACTGAGCCAAATGTAGCCAGATTTTAAAATCTGATATATAAGAAAAAGTGAATTATAGCATGTATGAAATTCAAGAGCACTTATGTTCTTGTTACGTGTGATTGAGTCAGTTCCGGCTCAAAGCCACCCTATACACTGTGCCAGGCTCACAATCACCACTATCTTTCAGCTCATTGTTGCAGCCACTGTGTCTAGTCATCTTGTTGATGGCCTCCCTCATGTTTGCTGCCCCTCTACTTTATGAAGCATGCTATCCTTCGCCAGGGACTGATGCCTCCTGATAACACGGCCAAAGTATGTGAAACAGTCTTGCCATCCTTGCTTTTCAGAAGAATTCCGGTTGTACTTCTCCTAAGACAGATTTGTTCTTCTGTCAGACCACTGCATATCCAATACTCCAACACTGTAATTCAAATGCACCAATTCCTTGGTCTTCTGTATACCTTGTTCAGCTTCTACATGCATACAAGGATGGCTGAAATAGCATGGCTTGGGTCAGGGGATCCTTAGTCCTTAAAGTGACATCTTTGCTTTTTTTTTTTTTTTTTAAACATTTTATTAGGGGCTCATACAACTGTTATCCCAATCCATACACACATCAATTGTGTAAAGCGTATTTGTACATCATTTCTCAAAACATTTTCTCTCCATTTAAACCCCCGACATTAGGTCCTCATTTTTCCCCTCCCTCCCCGCTCCCCCCATCTTTGCTTTTTAAAACCTTAAAGAGGTCTTTTGTGGCAGATTAGTCCAATGCAATATTGCTTTTTAAAAAAATAATGTATCTAGGGGCTCATACAACTCCTATCAAAATTCATACATACATCAATTGTGTAAAGCACATTTGTACATTCATTCATTCTCAAAACATTTGCTCTCCACGTAAGTCCCTGGCATCAGCTCCTCCTTTCCCCCCCCTCCCTCTCCGTTCCCCCCTCCCTCATGAACCATTGATAATTTATGTTATTAGTTTGTCATATCTTATGCTGTCTGATGTCTCCCTTCACCTACTTTTCTGTTGTCCATCTCCTAGGAAGCAGGTCATATGTAGATACTTGGAATCGGTTCCTCCTTTCTACCCCACCCTCCCTCTACCCTCCTGGTATCACCTTTCAGCAATGATCCTGAAGGGATCATCCGCCCCAGATTCCCTGTGTTTCCAGTCCCCATCTGTACCAGTGTACAACCTCTGGTCTAGCCAGATTTGTAAGGTAGAATTGGGGTCATCATAGTGGGGTGGGGAGGAAGCATTTAGGAACTAGAGGAAAATTGTATGTTTCATGGTTGCTACACTGCACCCTGACTGGCTGTCTCCTCCCTGTGAAAAAAATCATTTTATCAGAGGGCTCTGACAAATCTTATCACAATCCCTCATTCAATTGCATTAAGCACACTTGTTTCCAAAACATTTTCTTTCTACTTGAGCCCTTACTATCAGCTCCTTCCCTTTCTCCTCCCTTCCTCGCCCTCCCACCCTTGTGAATCTTGATTACTTATATATTATTAGTTTGTGTCTTATACTGTCCCTTGTCTCCCTTCACCTACATTTCTGTTAATCACTCTGTGGGGGATGGGCTATGTATCCAACCTTGTGATGGGTTTCCCCTTTCTCCCTCTTCCCATCCCCCTACCCTCATTATATGGCCACTCCCACCACTGTTCCAGAGGGTTTTATCTGTTCTGAATTCCTGTGTGGAGAGCTCCCATCTGTTCCAATGTGTGTACTCTGGTCTAACCAGATTTGTAAGGTAGAACTGGGTCATGGTAGTAAGGGGGAGGAAGCATTCAGGAACTAGAGGAATGATGTGTGTTTTATCAGTGCTATATAGCATAACCCTTCTGTGGGGGATGTCCAGTATGTTAACATTTGCATTTTGCATCACAATTCTGT